TGGAATTAAATTCTTTGAACAATTTTTAAAGGTGACCACCAAAGGAACATTCCTGTGAAGTTTGGATGAAATTGGCTTAGTGGTTTATGAGGAGATGTCATTTAAAGTAAAAGTTTACGGACGGACGGACGCCGGACAACGGACGAAAAGCGATCACAAAAGCTCACCCTGTCACTTTGTGACAGGTGAGCTAAAAAGATAGAGTGAACTAGAAATGTGTCATCATGCCACGGATGCCCCCACATGCAGCCAAAATTTCAGATGTTATAATATTTAGTTCCAAATTTGTTTGCACAAATTATTTTTTTCGTTTTAAGTTCAAAGCCCTTAAAACTATTCAATGTTAACACAAACCATTTTTATACAATGTTAAAGGCACTGAAATTATTTAAACTTAACCTTTTGTAAATTGCATATTGCATATTTGTAGCCAAAATAATGGCCACATACATTTCCACAAAAGTATGAGTGCTGAAACTGAAAATTCAAAATTTTTCCAACATTCAAGAAAGATAAGTTTGTCCAAAATCATTGAACCACGACCAAATTCAAACTTGAACTGCTTATTCCTAAGATGTATCATTCAACTCAAATTTGAGTTGAATGTGTACAACCTTTGGGGAGATAATGAACGGAAATTTAAATTTCTGATTTTTTTTCAAAGTTCAAGAGGGATAACTCTGTCAGCTATCATCAAACCATGACCAAATTCGAAATTGACCAATGCATTCTTATGACATATTCATATCTTTAATTTGAATTGAATATGTTGGGGAGATAATGAATGGGAACTGAAAATTTCCTTTTTTCAAAGTTAAAGGGGCATAACTCTGCCAAAAATAATTGAACCATGACAAAATTCAAACTTGAACTGTGCATTTCTTTGATGTATCCATATGTCAAAATTGAGTTGAATGGGTAATACTGTTGGGGAGATAATGAACGGAAACTGAAAATTTCATATTATTTTCAAAGTGAAAGGGGCATAACTCTGCCAAAAAATCATCGAACCATGACCAAATTCGAACTTGACCTGCCTATTTCTTTGACGTATCCATCTGTCAAGTTTGAGTTGAATGTGTTGTACCGTTGGGGAGATAATGAATGGAAACTGAAAGAAACTGAAAATTTCATATTATTTTCAAAGTAAAAGGGTCATAACTCTGCCAAAAAATCATCGAACCATGACTAAAATCGAACTTGACCTGTCTTTTCTCATGACATATCCATATGTCAAATTTGAGTTGAATGTGTGCAACCGTTACTTAGAAAATGAACGGAAACTGATGATGACGGAATGACAGAATGAAGGAAGGACGGAACAGGGTAACACTATATGCCCCGGCCATTATATGGCGGGGGCATAAAAATATTTTACTGCACCAAAATTTTTCTGAAATCTGGATGTGGACGCCAACACTTGGGCAGTTAGGACAGCTCTTCATATACTTTGTATAGTTGAGCTAATATAACACACACACAGATGAATAACTATAAGCCACCCCATCGCAGATGCAGCGGTGGCATAAAAAAGGCAGCATTTGAAATTATCTTTGTCTTGAAGACAAGATGTTTTATGATTGATCCATAAATAAAAGTTTTTAGATTGAATTTGTGAAAATCAAAGACATTATTTTATAAAACACTGTTTGTTCTTTATAGCACCCAGTGCCGTTTAAACAATATTTTCTACAAAAATATCTGAAGTAGGCAAAACATACATATAAATTGTAAATAAATTAATTTTTTCTTCCTCTACAAATTCACATAATTTCATCACTAAAACTTTTAAATATCCATTAGTATAAACATGAAAATGTTAAACCAGAGACTGATAAGCAGCTCTAAAAATAAAGTTTTCTTATCCAGACCCACAATCAGGTAAGATTTACTTGCTCTTGGTGTTGATTAATTTCCACCACCTTATTTTAGTATGTTAAAAGTTATCGGAGATTTAACATTACAAAATGTATACATTAAATTTTTCAGTAGGTCAATCATTTTGATAACATTATGTCATTGTTTAAATCACAGTAAATGGTGTTACACTCTAGTTCTTTCATGTTTCATTTAAAATTACCAAATGTTATATTGCTCATTTTAAATATTTATCATTACTTTGTAACTTAATTTATTTTTTTTACAACAAACAGGAGCATGTAGAAAATGATAATTGTTTCAGATGTATGCATATATTTTAACGAACATTAGTGACTTTTTGTAGAAATGAGTAAAATGTTGTTCTGATTTGCGAAAAAATCTACAGAATTAAGATATTTTGCACAAAACTTTGTTGTTTAGTTGTATTACTTAAAAATGTCACATGGAAATATGCCATTACCATGAAATAAGTGATGACACGAAATTAGAGATGTTGACTATAACATATAGGTCTCACTTACTCCGACCACCCTGGTAAGTTACTGGGATGATCCGGGGGGAAATTATTGTTGCGGTTATAATTACCTCTGCAGCACTACGGTAATTCCAAACTTGCCACCAAAGATGCATTTCGGACCATCCAGGCAGAGCCCAGGTGAAGCTACGGTTCATGCCGGTGCTTCCCGGTCGTTCCCAGATGATGCCAGAAGAGCCCCGGTCAATCCGGGCAGAGCACCACAGATCCTAGGACAATCCAAGCAGAGCCTCAGTGGATTGAAAATGCACGAAAATGATTACATTGATACATAATTTTTATTTAATTTCCGTGGTGTAACCCTGGTCGTTCCTGGCAGAGCTAAGGATGAAACCGGCAAAGCTATACTTCCCGGATCACCCTGGACCACCCCGGTGATATTAAATATTTTATTCCATCTGCAGTCCAATGCCGGATGTTCCCGGATCATCCGGGACGTTGCTAGCACAGTTACGGATGTACTCCGGTTGTACCCAGACGTCTACCGGGCTCTGCCAGGATGTAAGTGAGACTGTAGCTTTATTGGTCTTAGTTGCCATTTAATGATTACATGTATTTCATCCAATTTTGGCAAATACTATATAGTCATTTTTTCAATGCAAATTCAAGTTGGCTGAAAATCTCAAAAAAATGTGAACTTGCCAGAGAATGTTATGGTTGATACTGATTTAAAGTGCACGATGCCATAGTTTCCTTTCCATGTCATTTAAAGCTCCATTGTTAAACAATGAAAGGTAGTGATGAAAATATTTAAAAGGTAATACAAGTCAGGCTTGTAATACGTCGGTCCGACGGACATGTCCAATAAATTTTGATTAGGTCTGACGACTTTTTATTCCGGATAGGTCCGACTGTCCGGCTTTTATCCAATTGGCATGTATATATATACAAAATGGCGTCGCTAAAGGTGCCAAACGTGGGAATAAATGAAAATCTACGTCAAAGGAGCACGCAGAACAGCAGTAAAAGCATAAAAAGAATTGACCTGAGACAAAATTTAATGAAAAATGGAAGCAGGACGGTGAATCGTTGGTGTATGACAGGGAGATGAAAATGCGCTATACGGACTGTGCCGATTTTTACGGCGAAAAAATTAAAACCGAAAAGTTTCTTAGAAATACAAACACAAGTTTTCCTTTCATTTTGATTAATTTTATTCAGGGCCGGCAAAATCTGATTTTGACTTACTTGTCCGTTTTTATTAGAAGCATTTTTAACTTGTCCGTATGAGTCACTATGATATTTACATAGTTAATTCTTGAAAATTTTCACTTGTCCGTACAGGCTGTGGGACAACCTGGGCAATACAGACAATTGATTTTGCCAGCCCTGTTTTATTCAGTTTGACAGATTTCGTTTCGGTCCGACAGATTTTCATGGTTTGTCAGACCGAATGTCTGACACTTTTTTTAACTTTTGGGAAGTCTGACAAGTATGGCTGCTTTTCCTTAAGTCGTGGGTTTTCCTTGAGTCGTGGGTGGGTTAAAATCGTAGATGACTTTTTGTATGGTTAAAAATGTATTTTAATTATATATATTTCTTATAATTTGTTGTTAAAAAGTTGTAAATACTGTAATAATCGAATAATTTGGCCATTTGTATGGTTTGTTTACATTTTTTGACGACAACAACAACAACCTACTGGTTTCCGGTGTTTGGAACAGGTGCGACTTCATTTCGCGCCAAAATTGGGCCCACAGAAAGTCTCACTGAACTATTAATTGAAATATAAACTAACACTTGGTCATCGGCATCATTATATCTATTATCGATCCATTATCCATCTTGAATAAAATTTTGAAATCACTTGTTGTATCTCCGTCTTTTTGCAACTAGTTGTGTTTGTTTATAAAGCCAAATGAACTGTATAGGATACATTTGAAAACCACATTGCCTCATTTAAATATCATTTGCAATTGTTGCTACAATTTTGTTAATGTATAAAAGATTTTGAAGGCAGAATGAAAGTTGCCCTGACGTTTTATTTTAGTTTCATTACAAACTCTAATAGATCTTTTTGAAGACTGTTAAGTACCGAATAAATTAATCAAATCTGACTCTAAATCGCTAAAGATAGAAGTTTCTAGTCATATAATGATGTTTAATAAATTGGTATGGTAACTTGAAATAGTTCACTGAGATTTGACAAATGTTTTCTTACACTACTGTTGACATACATGTAAGCCACGACTCAAGGAAAAGCAAAATGCATGTGAATGTAAAATGGTACCTATATAAAATGAGTTAGATAATTGGAAATAAGTCTTATGGGATGCATAAAAGATCATGACAGTGCAAAATACAAATAGTTCAACATTTTCTGGTAATTTCCATGCTTGTTCCTGTGACGTCATCATACGTCACTGGTCTATTTTTAGAAATGCCCACGACTCTTGGTAAATAAAGCATAATTATTACCAGTAATATATAAATTTTTTGGCCGAGTTGACATGTGCTCATCTGGTATAGGGCGGAAATTACTTTAGGCGCAGTTAGTTTTTAAGGGTTGGTTGAACCGGATTCATTCCCCTGGGACTGAGCTGGGAATACAATTAACTGTTACACAATGAAGACCCAATACTACCTTCCCATTAGGCCTTGTGTTCCCAGGACAAAGAGGATTTTTTGAGTCATGCCTTGGTATGTCTGCTTCTTCTGGTTTTTCAACATGACCTGCCCAAGGTCTCTTCATCCGGTGAGGACAGACCAATACCCAGTCGTCCCGAAGAGGATTGTAACGTAAATGCTGATGATCTGAAGTAACAATCATTATATATCATCAAAGTGTTCTTTTTTCAGTATTATCATAATCGGTAATATTGCTCAATATATATTCACATGACACGTCATTTTCTTATGTCCAAATTTTCTATATCCGACCACTGTTTTACAAAAAAATAAACACAAATTAAATGCATATCCTACTGTAATCTATAATAATAACAAAAAGTTTTTAACTCCCCTCTGTTGTAATTAACAGAAAAAAATCATTTTTTTATTTGAAAATCAAATAAATGTGAATCTTAACGGAAAATAATCACGTAAACACCTTGAGGGTCAAATGACATGTTGTTGTGGTTGTTGTTGTTGTTGTTGGGGGTAGGTATACTTTGCAGACGACTCTGCAGGCAAGTTAAACATCAATCGCAAAGTTCTACTCGGCCCTTTCCGTCAGTCTTCGGAGTTATTATAGATAATAGCCGAGGCAGTTCCGAATGGTTAAATTGCAGTGAAGGGTTTTAAATTTTGCAGATTATATAGGGGGTGTTTAATGTGTGAATGGGCAATTATTTTAATGCCATCTAGAAAGATCTATAATTATTTGCAAATTTGAAAAATAATGACGTTGTTTTTGTTTTTTTTAGAATAATAGATCTATACAGTATGCTTTCATAAAAAATATAAGAATTTATTATATACTTATAAATGAAATATTGAGAAATATTGATGAAATAAAATGCGTATTTTCATTTTCCGTATTTTCACTGTAAAAATTTATTTTTCACTGCAGTGAAACATATTTTCCGTATTTTCACTGGTGTCTTGCCGGACTACTTTCTTTTAAATTCTGCCAGTACACAAAATTTAAGGGTAAGTCTTTTAAACTGTAATGTCAAAAAAGAGAAAATGTATATAATAAACAGAAAATTCAAGTTTTTTCTATAAATACATGATTTATTTTCATCTTGTGGCATGAAAATTACCATATTTCACTCGTGGCTACCGCCACTCATGAAATATTTATTTTCATACCACTCGATGAAAATAAATCATGTATTTATAGAAAAAACTTGAATATCCTCTATATAATTTTTAAAAAAAACCACTAAATAATTGCATGAGACAATAACAAACAAACAATTAATTGACTTGTATCCAAATTTAAACTAGAACTATCACTAAATGTGATTAATACCCCCACAAGACTGCTTCGGAAATGAGGATGTTACTAGTAACAGAATACCTTGTTAAAGAATTGAAATATAGAGTTATGGTTGTTGGCAATTAAAGATAGTTGTGGTTCTTATATGTTGCATTTCCTTTCAACGTGGTTGGCCATTGATGAAGTTTAATTGAATTACTCTGTAGTAAGTCCAGAAATACAAAGAAAAGGAACAAAGGGCAATAACTCTATAAATACTGAAGATAGAGTTATCGTTCTTGTGCACTGCACTTCCTCTTATTGTGCTTGACCATTGTATGAAGTTGTTTTGAATTCCAACCAGTCTGTTTTAAGTTATGCTCCTGACAAGGAAAAGTATCAAAGGGCAGTAACTCAGTATTTTGTCAAAATGGAGTTATGGCTCTTGTGCACTGCACTTCCTTTTAATGTCCTTGACAACTGTATGAAGTTGTATTGAATTCCAAACAGTAGTTTTCAAGTTATGCTCTGGACAAGGAAAAGTAACAAAGGGCTCTGTTATTAGTCAAGATGGAGTTATGGTTCTTGTGCACTGCACTTTCTATCAATGTGCTTGACCATTGTATGAAGTGTATTGAATTCCAACCATTAAGTCTTCAAGTTATGGTCCAGACAAAAAAGGCAATGGAAAAGTAACAAAGGGCAATAACTCTGTAATTACTTTAGATAGAGTTATGATTCTTGTGCACTGCACTTCCCCTTATTGTGTTTGACAATTGTATGAAGTTGTTTTGAATTCCAACCAGTAGTTTTCAAGTTATGCCCCGGACAAGGAAAAGTAACAAAGGGCAGTAACTCTGTAATTAGTCAAGATAGAGTAAAGGTTCTTATGCACTGCACTTCCTCTCAATGTGCTTGACCATTGTATGTAGCTATATTGAATTCAAACTATTAGTCTTCAAGTTATGGTCCGGACAAAAAAACGCAATGGAAAAGTAACAAAGGGCAATAACTCTGTAATTACTTTAGATAGAGTTATGGTTCTTGTGCACTGCACTTCCCCTTAATGTGTTCGACAATTGTATGAAGTTGTTTTGAATTCCAACCAGTAGTTTTCAAGTTATGCCCCGGACAAGGAAAAGTAACAAAGGGCAATAACTCTGTAATTAGTCAAGATAGAGTTATGGTTCTTGTGCACTGCACTTCCTCTCAATGCGCTTGACCATTGTATTTAGTTATATTGAATTCCAACCATTTGTCTTCAAGTTATGCTCCGGACAAGGAAAATGCAACGGACGTCTGGACCGACCGACCGACCGACCGACCAACCGACCACCGGGTGACTCCTATATACCCCCCCCCCCCCAAACTTCGTTTTTGGGGGTATAAAAAAGTAAAAGCTTTTAAAATCAAAGTAAATCAATTATATAGATAATTGTCACATAACAATTACATGTACAATTACTGTAGTATATTACCATTGTTTATTTTAGCAATCCTTGTATAATCCAGCAGTTATTGGTTTAATCCCTTTATCACCCAGTAGTAATGTACATTTTTTTTTTTTTTTTAATTGTAATACTATGTAATAATATCTTTTATTCCTCCAATATTGAAGAGCATAATACATGTAACAAATTAATAATATTTTACAGACAGTAAATAGAGATATATGTACAAATCAATCAGAATCAAAATAGCAAATGCGTCCTTAAGAATCTCACATTTGTCTAAACGAAGAAATGAAGATCGAAAATGTCAGACAAAAGCGTTATTCATAGTAACAATTATTAAGTATAAACAACTGACAAAAAACAATGTCCACTGGTTCAAAATTAACTAGATACGAAAACGAAAGGCTAGTCAATTTACAATGGAATTTGTTCCTGCAATTAAGTTATAAAGCTATAAATAGAAACTATGACCAAAATACATAACTACATTACATATGTAATTTGATTATTTCAAAGTACCTGATATAAAGTGAGTTTGTTCTATATCACACTAATCGAACATTTTGCAAACACATATGGTATAATGCATATGTTTAAACATGTCCCCATCAATTGTAACAGCTAACCTTAGCAAATAATCACACTGTTCAGACGGTGTTAACAAAACGAATGACATGTAATCACAGTGACCATTAATCTCTATCATCAAATTCGACAAACGTTCACGTATATGTGAATTAACCTCACAATAACAAATCAAATGTTGTACAATGTCTCCAGTCAACCGATCACACTTAAAGCATTTACAAATGTATTTTCTGGACAAGTACCGCGCTAAAATATTCATCAGTTTGAAACATAGGCGCGATAATCGTGGTTTTCTTTTCGGATACAAAGTTGCGCCCCCTGTTGTAATAACGACATCAAGGGCATTGCATTCAAACTCACATTGACCCTTCCTTGGCTTAAAACTTGTTGATTAAGAATCCGCTTCCAAGCTATTTTGGACGGAAATGTACCTTCTCTTATGTATGTATTAATAACATCATATAATCCGTACTTTTGTAGAATTTCACATATAGTAGGAATAAATCCAGAAGTCTGCTTATCATAATTAAGGTAACAAACGAGGCGACTGTTGAAAATATGTTTAGCAAGATATACATCAGAAAGTCTACATAATTGTCCAAGGAATTGCAATTTTCTATGTTCAACGATAATGTCAATAGGAACGGCGTCTAATGCACTCAATGCAAATTCAGTTGATGTACCATTTGGAAATGACTGCATGTTTTTAATACAAAATCTATGAGACCTTTCGAGTTGCATAAGATCAACATAATAAGGAAAATCTATATTTTGCAGACAGAATTTCTGTTGACTTTTGCAGACAAGTTAAATTCAGAACAGTTGACTATTGGGAAAATCTGTATTTTGCAGACAGAATTAAGATTGAATTTTGCAACATTTTAGATATAGAACAAAACATAAAATGATAACGGAATATAAGCAAAATCTGTAATTTGCAGACAAAATTAATGTTGAACTTTGCAAACAAGTTAGATATAGAACAAAACATAAAATTATAGTTGACTATTAGAAAATCTGTATTTGCAGACAAAATGAATGTTGTACTTTGCAGACAAGTTTGATATAGAACAAAATATAAAATGATAGGGGAACATAATGAAAATTTGTATATTGCAGACAGACTTAATATTGAATTTTGCAGACAAGTTAAAATAAGAAGGATTTTGTAGACAAATAAGAACAAAATATAAAATGATAGGGGAATATAAGGAAAATCTGTATTTTGCAGACAGAATTAATGTTGAATTTTGCAGACAAGTTAAAATAAGGATATTGAAGACAAGTAAGATATAGAACAGAATTTAAAATGATAGAGGAATATTAGAAAAAAATGTATTTTACAGACAGAATTAATGTTGAATTTTGCAGACAAGTTAAAATAAAAAGGATTTTGCAGACAAGTTAGATTAAGAATAAATTATAAAATGATAGCGGAACATAAGGAAATCTGTATTTCTCAGACAGAAATATTATTGAATTTTGCAGACAAGTTAAAATAAGAAGGATTTTGCAGACAAGTTAGATATAGAACAGAATATAAAATGATAGGGGAATATTAATAGATCTAGAAAGATCTGTATTTTGCAGACAGAATTAGTGTTGAATTTTGCAGACAAGTTAAAATAAGAAGGATTTTGCACACAGGTTAGATATAGAACAGAATATAAAATGAAGGGTAATTTTAGAAAAATATGTATTTTGCAAACAAAATTAATGTTGAATTTTGCAGACAAGTTAAAATAAGAAGGATTTTGCAGACAATTAGATCTAGTTAGATATAGAACAGAATATAAAATGATAGGAGAATATTAGAAAATCCTGTATTTTGTAGACAGAATTTATGTTGAATTTATTATTTAAGAAATAATATATCCCAAACAGTGATTTTATCGCTCAATAACATCACTGTTTGGAGTTCGGATGCGAGGAATTATATATATCACGACTCGGGCGTAGCCAGAGTGATATAATGATGCGCATCCAAACGACAAACAGTGATGTTATCAAGCGATAAAATCACCGATTTTGGATATATTATTTCGATTCTAACACGACATCAACAAATATAGATGTTGCCGTACCTGACATTAAGCAAAATTGTGCCTAATTTATTTCCGTACTTATTTTAAGCGCGTCTGATTCTTTTAGTGGTTACGTCACATGTATAATGATTACGTGTCGTCACATATTTAATTTTATCACATAAACGGCGGCGCAGGAGTGTAATAAAGCCATTTAATAAAAACGATATTACACTAGTGTAATAACACTTTGACGTGACGTCATTTGC